CCCCAAAACCCCAAAACCCCATGCTTCAATGATTTCGAAGTTTTTAAGAAAGTATTGAGGAATTATGAAATTTTGATTTAGAATAAGTTAGATTTTCTTATCAATATTTAATCTTTGAAATAATAGTTATTATACTGTTGAAAACCATCATAAATTTAATATCCAGGTTCTACTGTTTACTTTAGATTCCTTGCTATGTTATTTTGCAAGTTTAATACTTGAATGGCTAAGCTTTTCTATATTTTTTACCTTTAGTTTGTCTCTGTAATTGACATTCTCATTCTAGGGCTACTAATTAATTTTTAGCATTAAATTTCCATAATTACTTGCAGTTGCGGTTGTATTCATTTGACTTTGAAATGAGGTTGAAGATTTTGAGAAGAGCTCTTTTTCTCTCAATCTTACTTCTTTTATCTTTCTTAATGTGACTTTTGAACTAGTTTAAGTGTTGAGACCACTATTTGAAAGAGGAGGTTTGAGGAAAGAACTCTAAGTTTTATAAGGATTAGTAAATTTAGTATTTGTAAGATAAGCTTCATCAACATGCTTTGTTTCATAAAATCCTAATTAAGACCCTCCTACCGAGATTTAATTCCTCATATCATCACTAAGATCCCGGATCTTTTAGCTTTGAATCTTCAATCTTGTTTTCTTGATGATTGGAGTTTGTTGAAGTGCAGTACTGTTTGAGCTAAGATTGCTAATTGTTTGGTTAAACTGACTAGCTGAATTGGAATTGTTAAAATTAGTGCCTTCATTAATTTTTGCTCTGTTTTATTTTGGTGGGAGAGATGTTTGTGGTCTTTTAAGAATAGTATGGTCTTTTAAATTTCCTTTTGAATTAGATTGGTACTCTTAAATCTCGAAATACTCTACTTTTTCAGGAGCAAACGAGGATGGAATCACATTAGTCTGACTAACAACCTTTCTTTTACTTTAGGGGAATAGACTATTAACTTTAGACTTATAATACTTAGTAACAACTCTGAAATAGTTGTCATTTTTATCTTTATGTCTTTTCAGTAATTTTTATTGATACTCATAAGCAGCAGAATCTTAGCCACGAATTCTAGCTTTCTTAATGATTAAGTTTAATTTATTTTGATAGGCTTATTCATTTTATTTTCTAAACAAAAGTGACTGCGTATTGCTATCCTCAGAGGGGATTGTTGATAGTGACATTTTATGTTTCATTTGTTTACCTTCTGTCTTTATGTAATCTAAAGTCAAAGGCTATGTTTTGTAATAATAGTCATCAACGTCATCAAATGATTCTTGTTATTAGGTAATGTTAATAGCTTAATCCTATATAATCATTTTCTGTATTTTAGTAACATCAATAGAAAGCTTGTTGTTGGCGCTCATTGTCTAAACAATACCTCTCTCTAAGGACTCTTTTTAATCTATAAAGAGCTATGAGAATTTTTCACATGCTTCTCCTACATTACTAGCATCAAGACCACAGTCATCTATTTCTTCATGAAGTTGCTGTCTATTAACTTTCTCACTTAAGTGCTCTAGCATTACATTAAAGCTGAAAGGAACACACCCAGACACTTTTTTCTTCTCTCTTAGCCTTTTGATAACTTCTCGAAATTCTAAAAATATTAGTTAATATTTATGGAGAAAATATTGGAATAAAATTTACTTTCATTAGCTTTTTGAGAGAACATAAACTGCTTGAATTCATCAAGAGACAAGCTGCCAGAGCCATCTTCATCAACAATCTTGAATAGCTCCTAGATCTTTTTCATACTTATCTTAATCCCGTACTTATTAAACATCTCAAATATTTCTTTGCAATCAAGTGAATTAGATCCATCATCGTCGAAATTGATAAAAACATTCTCAACTTGTAATTGCTATTTCAATTCATTTACTGATTTCATATAAAATGGCTTTGTACTCTCTGCATGTCTAGAATTAAACCATCTTTTCATAGGAGATTATTTCAATCGATTGCTTACATCACTATAATAGCATTGGAACTTTTGAATTTTCTAATATACTTACTGAGCCTTTATTATGTTTTAATGAGTTTCAATTGTTCTAGAATTTTACTCTTGAAGTGTTTGCAAACTTGTAGCAGAAGACATTATTACTCAGTAAACTCAGGTATATGCTGAAGTAAAGGACTAAAAATATTACTTTTAACAATAATCAACATTTCTTCTAAATTTATCAACACTGATGGGGTTTTGGGGTTTTGGGGTTTTGGGGTTTTGGGG